GACCCACCAAAACAGCAGTGGTCCCTTCCTAAAGCCACTGCACATCACTGTCCTTAGCAGCACGCTTTCCGGCCTGCGGGAAGCCCAGGGTTAATCTGCCCCTGTGCAGATGTATACAATATGCATCAGGGCAGCATATTCTTTTCCTTGTTGGAGGGCCTAGCAGTGAAGGGTGGGTGACTGTAGCCTCTGTGTAATTGGGAACACAGCTGAATCAACTAGGTAATTCATACAAATCACCTGCCAAGAGAAACCTTTACAAACAACTCTGACTTCCTAGGCAGCAGCTTCATAGCCAGCAAGCGGGCCGGTATCGTTCTAACACATGCCCACAGACTCCCTGCGGTTTCAGTAAGTCTGGTGTGGCATTCCAGGTGCTTATTCTGGGCCTGCAGTGCAAGTTCTAGCTCTCTCCACAGAATTAGTGTCTTCGTGACTATGGGGCCCAGTGCCTCCATTTGACCTGCAACACCTTCCTCTATCCCAAGTAGGGGGAGAAAGAAGCTGACAATCAGAGGCACTGCAGAGCTCTGCCGTGGATCCAGGGAGATATCGGAGTACAGCACTCCCACCACGACCAGAGGCTTTGGAGACTCAGAGGAGACTAGGATGGGCTCAGTAGGGGGTACGTGAGGGTTAAAAGAGAAGCCTCCTCTATAAGGAAAAGAACAGGTTAAGGAATGTTTAGATAAGTTAGATGTATTCAAGTTGCAGGGCCTGGTGAAATTCATCCTAGGGTAATTAAGGAACTAGCTGAAGCCATCTCCAAATCATTCGTAATTATCTTCAAGAAATAATTGAGGATGGGTGAGGTCCCAGAGGACAGGAGAAGGGCAAACATAGCACCTATCTTTAAAAACAGGGAACAAAGAGGACCTTGGGAATTATAGACCAGTCAACCTAACTTCAATACCTGGAAAGATACTGGAAAAAATTATTAAACAATCAGTTTGTAAGCCAATAGAGGATAATAGCGTGATAAGGAATAGCCAGCACGGACTTGTCAAGAACAAATCCTGCCAAGCCAACCTAATTTCCTTCTTTGACAGGGTTCCTGGCCTAGTGGATAAGTAGGAAGCAGTAGATGTGATATATCTTTATTTTAGTAAGGCTTTTGACAGTCTCATATGACGTTCTCATAAGCAAAATAGGGAAACGTGGTCCAGCTTAATTCACTATAAGGTGGGTGCACAACTGGTTGCAAGACCGTACTCAAAGAGTGGATATCAATGGTTCGCTGTCCAATTGGAAGGATGTATTTAGTGGGGTCTTGCAGGGGTCAGTCCTGGGTTGGGTACTAGTCAATATTTTCTTTAATGACTTGGGTAATGGAGTGGAGAGTTTGCTTATAAAATTTGCCGATAACACCAAGCTGGTAGAGGTTGCAGACACTTTGGTGAACAGGATTAGAATTCAAAACAACTTTGATACATTGGAGAATTGGTCTGAATTAAACCAGATGAAATTAAATAAAGATAAATGCAAAGTACTTCACTTAGGAAGGAAAAATCAAATGCACCACTACAAAATAGGGAAGAGCTGGCCAGGTGGTAGTACTGCTGAAAAGGATTTGGGGAGGACAGTGGATCACATATTGAATACTAGTCAACAATGTAATGCAGTTGCGAAACAGGCTAATATCATTCCAGGGTGCATTAGTAGCAGTGTTGTATGTAAGACTTGGGAGGTAATTGTCCTGCTGTATTCAGCACTGGTGAGGCCTCAGCTGGAGTACTGTGTCCTTTCTGAGTGCCACACTTTGGAAAAGATGTGGACATTTTGGAGAGTCCAGTGGAGACCAGCAGAAATGATAAAAGGGTTTAGAGAACCTGGCCTATGAGGAAAGCGTTAAAAAATGGGCATGTTTAGTCTTGAGAAAAGGATGACTGAGGGGGACCTGATAAGTCTTCAGGTATGTTAAGGACTGTTATAAAGGGGACTCTGATCAATTGTTCTCCATGCCCACTGAAGGTAGGACAAGAAGTAATGGGCTTAATCTGCAGCAAGGGAGATTTAGGTTTGATATTAGGAAAAACTTTCCAACTCTAAGGGTAGTTAAGCTCTGGAATAGGCTTCCAAGGGAGGTGGAATCATTGATCTTTTTAAGAACAGGTTGGACAAACACATGTCAGGGATGGCCTGTCAGTGGCTCTCCACTTTTCCAGACTACTGTACCCCTTTCAGGAGTCTGATTTGTCTTTGCATACCCCCAAATTACACCTCACTTCAAAACTACTTGCTTACAAAATCAGACACAAAAACACAGAAATGTCACAGCCACACTATCACTGAAAAATTGCTTGTCTTTCTCATTTTTACCATATAATTATAACATAAATCGATTGGGATATAAATATTGTACTTACATCTCGGTGTATAGCATATAGAGTAGTATAAACAAGACATGTCTGTATGAAATTTTAGTTTGTACTGACTTTGCTGGTGCTTTTTATGTAGCCTGTTGTAAAACTAGGCAAATATCTACATGAGTTGACGTACCCCTGGTTGAGAACCACTGATCTAGGTTTACTTGGTCCTGCCTCAGCACAGGGGCTGGACTTAACTTCTCAAGGTCCCTTCCAGCCCCACATCTCTATGATTTCTATTATTTCAATTTCTTCTATCTTCATCATTCTTCGTGCACGTCCCTCTCCATTCTCAGCTCTTTAAAATGCCCGATACAAACACTTAGATGGTTTTTCCTGTTCTCTCTTTGCACTGGGGTTAACTGTTGTGTTCTATAGTCATCTCCAACTACCCTAACTCTCTGTCCCTCAGGCTAGCAAAGCTGGCTAGATGTCCCAGAGACTGATTTCACTGCTATTCAAGCAGAGGCCACGTAACTCATCCAGCCCCCTTGCATCTCAGGGGAAGCTCGATGCTCTGTCACCCCTCCCAGCTACTGGTTCACCTCTGCAATCCTGTGGCTTCTTGCATCATTTGAGCTAAAGGAATGGTAGAGCTTCTGAGATCACCTGTACAGTCCTTTCCCTCAATTCCACATGCCCAGGTCTCCATTGCCATCTATGCCTTTTGCCAACAAGCTGCTGGCCTCGTTGCTGGCTCTGGTGAGAAAAGCAACTCTCCCCAGCAGTTGTCGTAAACCATCCGACCTGAAGGTCACATCTTGAGTTTGTGCTCCCAGGGTGAAATCTGGGCCCCACTGAAGTCAATGAGAGTTTTGTCATTGATTGGGAGGGTGGGGGGCGGCTAAGATTTCACCCCTGATAGGCAACACACTTCCCTGGTTGCAGGAAATAGGGTCAACCCCACACCATTTAAACAAATGCCCTGTGACGCCATCAAGAAATTCTACACCAGATCTGCGGATTCTCTTCCAATGCCACCTGAAGGGCAGCAAGAGGGAAGGCTAGGAGGTATCCCTTGCCCGTCCTTTTTCACAGCAGTGGTTGGGGTGCCTGCAAATCCAACAGCCTGTCTGGTGGGACCCCCAACCATCTATTTCAAGATTTCACATTCACTGCAGGGAGGGGGGTTGCAAGAAATCTGACTGGGCAGAGCTTGGCAATGGACCCTCAGGCTTCTCTAGCTTTTCCAGCTAGCCATAGAGGGCTGGGGGGGGTCTGGTTTTGTTGGCAGAGCAGCCTGAGTGATACAAAACCATCCCTACTGTCATAGCTTGAACCTACCAGTTTCAGCTAGTCCCAGGAGTGAGAAGCTGGACCCGGATAGCAAAACCTGCTCTTCCAACATGGAAGCACATCGTACTATTAAGTCCGTTACCCCACAGCCACGCTCTTGCTGCAGGCTTGTGCACCAAGGGGTAGGGCTTTTCTGCTTGCTTTGATATCCCCCTAGTTTTTCCTGATGCTGAGTGGTGATGAATACTCAAGAAATATAAAGGGATCTGCAGGACTCATCAGCATCTTGTTGGCCAACATCAGTAACAGGACCTAGAGAGCTTTTCCCACACTGACAAATTCAAACAGAGCTGACTCCTGGCTAATAGCCAAGGCCAGGATGAGTGCTGTAAAAATATCCAACATTAACACAAAGGTCCATATCATTTGATGTAGGATCAGGGCTAGCAATTCCTTTTAAATTAGAAGTTTATATTCAGCATTAATCGGTTTTATTTGAGCGTTATATTGCTGTATCTCAGAGTCCTTTCCTTCAGTAAATGAAAACACAGAGGGATTGGGCCATCAGCCCATGCATGGAACAATCCAGGTTTTTTTTTTTTTTGGCTCCTTCACAAGGATTCTATTGCCAGACTCCACAGTTTTGGCAGGATAAATCTGTAAGTCATGGAAATTTCTAGCTTCATGACACACACACATTTTATTCCAAGTCCTAGTTGATAAAATTAAATGCAGTAAAGAGCCAGTTTTTTTTACCCAAGTCCTTCATTAGCATCTGGAATCTGAAAGCTGATGTAAGATCAGACATTTACACAAAAGAAAAAAAAATCCTCTCAACTGGGGAAGGAGACGGGATTTTATGAAAAACACAGCCGGCTTTTAACTTGATCTGAGATACGTAATCACTTGCCAATATAGCTTGGATTTTCTCATAGAAGGACCAATCCGGAAAGGCACTGAACAGCCTTAACTCATTCTAAAGTCAGTAGTTTTGGAGCTTAAATCCCATTGTCAGTCAATAGGGTTTAGGCACTTTGGAGCCTAACTCCCTTTTAAAATGGGTAGCAATGCCTAAACACCTTCAAAAATCTGGGCCTTCGAGGCTTATAAGTCAGCACCAGCACCTTAAACTGTCCCTGCAAACCCAGAGGCAGCCAGTGCAGACCTCAGAGCACTAGAGTAACACGTTGACAGTGAGATCACCAGTGACAGGGTGATAAACTTAAAAGAAAATGAGGTCTTGTCCCTAAAGGGAATCCTGTGCTAATTATCAGGAATAGAAAAGCCACCTCTTGCCACATTCACCCTGCTCATGCCATTAGAAGACAGCTGAAGTGGATATCCTGTATATTATGTATGGTGTGTATAAACTATGCTTTCATTCCAATTTTATTTCAGATTTCGCCCCACACAGAGCACATTGCAGATGTCTAGTTGCAAGGTGATAAAGGCATGGATGAGGGACGGGAGGTCTACACACAACAGAAAAGGGCATAACTTCAAAGCCAGACATAGATGAAAAAACCCAAACCCATCCTGGCCACTGCAAATACCACCTGTTCTACACACAGTAGCTGGAGATCTTGCCCGACCCCGGATTGTGTATTGATTGACCAAATGCAGGTGCACATCCTGTCAAGGGACAAATACCAGCTCTCCCACACCTCCTACCCGCCAATACCGCCTCAGATGTATTTGGTTTGAGCCTCAGCCAGATAATTCTCATGCATGCTGTGATCTCCAGACAGACAAAGTGCTTGACTGGCTCTCACTGGGTCAGAGGAGATGTAGATGAAGACCTGGGTTGTCTTCAGCATACTGCAGGGACCATAGCTCACGCCGTCTCACTGAAGGCTAATGGCACCTCTTTGAATGAGAGGGGTGATATGGTGGAACCAGTGGCACCCTAACATGAGAGCACTCTTGGGGAAGAAAAATAACTTCCTCCAAATCCCCGAGATCTCTCTGACAGGAAGGGAACAGAACCACTTAAGAACAGCCCCATCCACTCCTCGAAGGGCCTGTGAGAAAGCTGGGGCTTGATGCAAGAATTACTGAGTGAAATTCAAACTGAGTGACATATGCTGGAAGTCTCATGTTGCCAGTACTAAAACATCCTTTGAATTGCTAAACATTATAGATGACTATTTCCTTAATGCTCTATATTGGACCTTCTCATGACAGAGAAATTGATCATAGAACTAGGTGCATGCGATCATGACTTGATTACATTTCTTATCTGCAAACCGAATAAAGTCCCAACCTGTAATTAATATATATATATATATATATATATATATATATACACACACACACACACACGTACGTCGGTCCGTCCGT